TTATAAGACTCCATGAGTCCATACTGAAACAGGCAAAAAGAGAGATGGAGATAGACAGGTAGAAAAAATAGCGAGGAAAAAACACCTTTTCTTACAACTAATAAACACAGAAGGAATGTAGTCAATAAATCACCACTTGTCAACCATGGTAATAATAAATTCAAGGAAAACCTGTAAGTGGATGTGAAAATCAGTGTATGCGAGTCTCAACAGGATATTAATACAACCTTAACATAGTCCCTCTACCCCGACAAGATACCAGAAAAAAGGAGAAAACAGCACCTGCACAGCAGAGAAATCTGGCAGATAGGCCTTCAACTGAGCAGTCCAAGCAAAAAAAGGACAAAGTGACATCACGTGACTCTTGACAGGATGCACGGAGAAGTACACACCATCTCTTCTTCTACCCAAAATGTATGACCTGAATCCATGCCAAATTGAGAGAGTTTATACAAAAGACCTAGTTTGCATTTTGCAAAAATATCAGTAGCACGGAAGACAAAACTGAGGCACTGCTCTAAAGGAAAGAAAACTAAAGATAAGGACAACCAAATAAAATCTATGATCTGGGATTTGCTCTTGCTATCACAGACACTGTGTGATCAAAAATCTGACTACATGCTGTAGACGAGACAACAGTACCCTACCAATGCGTATTTCGTGATTTAGATAACTGGACTGCAGTTACATAATCGAAGGTATTGTTCCTAAGAAACATACACTGATGTATTTAGGAACAGGTAGTAGAGACAGAAAAGGATAAAGTAAATGTAGTAGATGTTAATATTGAGGGAATCTGGGTAGAGACTGTAGAGGAATTCATTGATGTAAGTCTGAAATTATGTCAAAATAAAAAATAAACGGAAAAAAAAGAGCATCTTCTACTGCTTTTCCTAAAACTAAACAGCTTTTCAGGTGAATCCATGTGCCATTCTACAATTTTAGTTGGTGGGAGAATACTATCTTCACTAAGTAAAATCTCACTTTACCACGTGGCCTAGTTTGGGAATGGAAGACAGTGTTCATCCATTCTAGTCAACTCTGTGACTCAGACTTTTCAGCAATGACACATTAACTAAAGCTAGAGCAAACGGAGAATGACTGATTTACACAAAAGCCACTGAGGATACATGACTTCTGTGACTACATGCCTCAGTCTCCAAATCATAACACTCCCGAGATGAACAGAGATTTACAGAGGACTGTACGAAATAAAGGTTACTGGCAACAGAGGGCTTAACTGTCCCGCCTTCACTGCATTTGGAGAACTGCATTTATTATCTCAAAGCAGAAACAGGACCTTTCATTTAACCCAGACAACTGTTGGAGAAATTCACTTACCACCAAGTGAGGAGTGAGCACAATATAAGAACAAGCTTCTGCACAAGGTGCCTGGCAACATAAGATTTGGGAATAGGACAAATCTCTACCCCAGTCTTCCTCTTTGGGGTCCCTATCATAGCCAGAGGTACTGGTGGAAATCTATGGAAGTGATTTTCACTGTCGCAAAGATCGAGGTGGGGACCAGGGATGCTAGAAGCCCTACACTGCACAGAGTCTTGGACAGTGAAGAATTATTTAACTTTCAGGATAACTTCCCCATATCATTCCAGACATTAGTAAAGATAAAATAGCACAGTTTTAATAACTACCCGAGTGCAGATTCTAACTCTGTTTTACATATAAACACTAAGGAGGTTTTAGTGGTTGCAGTTTAAATACATACAGATTACATAGCCATGTTCTCAGCAGTATTACTCACCACAGCATAAATGGGGAAAGCAAGCCAACATTCATTAATGGAGAAATGAGTAAACAAAATACGGTATATACGTCTACACATACAGTAGAATAGCATGCAGCTTTAAAAAGAAAGGAATCCTGACACAAGCTACAAGTACACAGACAATCCTGAAGGACACAGTTTAAGGACACGGTGTGGACTCACTCGCTTACACAGAAAGATAAATGCTGTGTGATTCCACTTACATGGGCACAAAGAGTTGTCAAATGCATAGAAACAGAAAATAGAAGGAGGCAACCAGGAACAGGGTGAGGGGAAGTGGGGTGGTTTAGTGGCTACAGGTCTAATTTGGGAAGAGAAAAAAGTTCTCGGGATGGACGGTGGTGATGGCTGCACGACAGCATGCACGTACTTAACGCCACAGGAAAGTATACTTCAAAAATGGTGACAACAGTAAATTGCATGTTATGTAGATTTGACCACAATAAAAAAAATACATACACACAGATGTGTGTAGATCAAAGGAAGACTGCAGTTTTTTGTGCCATATCATAACCACAATCTGTTCACCACCCTGGAAAATGCAACTGTGGAGAGCAATGCCTGAATCCACAGCACCGCCCACCTGCACCCAGCAGACGAGAAGCTGATGTAACCACGGTGAGTCCACACAGAGGTGCCCGAATCTGGCAATAAACATCACAGCGTCTTCTAATGTTGTCGGGCCTGAGCATTTACACACTGATCCATACATTTTTTTATAAATGATCTCCCTTTTATTCTTCTATTCCAAGTCAGTACAAAATCCACCGCTAGGTGCATACATATCGGGTTGGTCAGAAAGCTGGTTCCAGTTCTTCCGTAAACCAGCTTATAGAAAAACCCAAAGGAACTTTCTGGCCAAGCCAATATATAAAAGTTAGTTGTGAATTTTGTTTCATGATAGTATTGATGGCATTTCACAACATTTCTCATAAAAACCAAGGTGAGTGTGCGTGGCTCTGATGTGGGTGCGATCTACTGTTCTGTTCTCAGGGAACAAAGAGCAGTAGGAACAGGGTAACTGCTGACAACTCTGCTGAGGGCAAGACTCACTCAGTCCCTACGGATTTAATATAAGCATCCTTTCATCGGAATGAAACTTCTTACGGTCAAAGTCTCGAGGGAGTTTGCCCACTCCTCTGAAAAGGAAGCAATCTGACGGAAAACTAGAAAACCCCTGACTCTTCTTAGTGATACAACCCACATGCACACTTAAAATAATCAAATTCATGCCTGGTAATAAACTCAGACAGAGACGAGGTGAACCGGGGAACATCATTTTCAGGCATGGGAATCACTGCATCATGTCAAAAGAGATTAGAATCTGACTGAGAAGGGCATGGGGTGTCAACTGCAATTACACATCTACTGTTTCTCTATTGGGATTATCCCTCTTTCCATCTCAACACTGGGACATGATTAATATTTTACATACTGTCCAAAAGCAGAATGTGACTTACCAGAAACCGTACTGAACGCTTCAAATACAGATCCCCGCTTTGCCAAGAGAAAATCCTGCCCAGCTGTACATTGCTCATTTGCAAAACATAAGAGCAATGAAATTCCATTACTTAGAGAAACTGGCTGTTCCACCAAACCCTTGGCAACGGAAGCTGTACTTATCTTTTGGAACAATAGTCTCAGATAATGTATTCTCTCTCTCTCTTCACAGAAGATAGTAAAGGATTCATTTGAGCTCTTGAAAGAGCATCTTGCCCAAGCAAATTCCTGGAAGGGAAAATCCACTCCGCTGACCTGGGAAGTAGGAAGATTGACCCTAAAACATGCAGCAGAAAGAGTTCCAAGTTTAAGAACTCTTCAAAAAGTCAAGGAGGATGTAGCATGGTTAATAATGTCCTTAAAACAAGATCAAGTATCCTTTCAGTAAGTAAGCTGTCACACTGCATCCCCTAATTCTAAAAAGTAACTCTTACACCATAACTTTTTTAGTTTGTTTTCTTGGAGAGATATAACCATCTATTTTCCTGAAGATATAAACTGCCCTGAATTGTACTGCTTTGAAGAGCGCAGAAATCACCCAAATGAGACCAGAAAAGCGAGACTCTGTCTTTCTCTTCCCAAGGTTCCCTTCCCAGAAGCATGTGGCCACTTTTCTGCGGGTTATGTGAGACTCCTTTGTGGCTTATCCCATGGCCAGAGCTTCCAGTCAGTCCAAGGTTTGAAATAGGCCAGAAATACACTCAAGAAGTATAGATACCCTACACAAATGTGTTTGGAACATAGAACATCCAGTGGTCACAGGGCCATTTTTCCAGTTTCGTATTTAACGTGCTATATTATGGTGACAGCACATGGGCGAGCTTTTTATGGACTTTAAACATCTCATCCTGGATTCTCATATTTGATTTTTTTCCCTCACAGAAAATCCAGCAAATTGAGCCCACATATTCACCCATTAAAAGAACAATCAAAATGGTCAAAATCACAAATGAAAAATAGTCACTTATATCAGACTTTGCAACGAGAGCCCACACAAGCAGCCCACACAAACAGCTTTCGGCAGCTCGGGGCAGGCTAAGACACTGACCCTATTCCCAAGGGTCCTATGATTGGGCGGAAATAGCTACCTCCCCCAGCATAAAACTAGAAACCTCCTACACAGAAGTTTAAAATGATGAGTGAAGAACTGAAAATTAGAACAGTGGTGATAAGTGATCCTCCTGAATATCAATCTTTGTCTGCAAACCCTTAAGTCAAGCAACTGGTACAACTGACAACAGGCAAGACACAGAAAAGGGGGAATGATATATATGCAGAAACAATTGCGTGCCGTGAGCTCTGAGGACATGAGAGTGATCCCAAAGCTGACACAATTACCCCTTGGTCACCGACCTGAACAGAGTCACCGTTTGCCCACCAGGGACTGCTCATCTGGTTCTAACTAACACACAACTCCCCAGTGGTTTTCACACGAAGCTCCAACTGAAGCACATAGAACAGATGCACAGCCGCATGAAAAGAGCCAAATCGTGAACAAGCCACTCATACTTTGGCTTCTCTGTACTGAATATAAACAAACACTTAACACCAAGGCAATCAACACCCAATGGGGTCCCATACAATCAGAGAAATCTGTCTCCTGCCCAAACAGCCACCAGTTGAGGCCTCCCTCTTCTACCAAACATCTAGCCTTGAGCCGGATGAAGACTGCATGGCATTCAGCCTATAAAAGACCCTGGCAGTGTTCACATACCTCAATAATCCTGTCGTGAATTTGCAGGCCTCCGTCCTTGGCTGCAGGCCCACTGTCAACTATTTTGGATACAAAGATTCCTTCACTGGACGATCCATCTTGGTTGTCCTTTGGGTTAAAAAAACAAAGGCATGAATGCTAGGCATTAAGTTGATCATGAAAATCAAGCCAACACTCTTAAAACAGTAATGGACTCTTGCTGGTGTCTTGCTGGTGCAAAGGGGTAGAAGTCAGCTGTTTCCCCTCATATCTGTTTTAAACTAAAATTAACACATGGTAAAATAATTCGAGTCCAACCAAAAGGTATAAAAGGGTAAGTCCCTTCCATCTCTAACCCACAATTCTTCTATCCCTTTGCAGCATTGATTGGCAGTTAATCCATCCTTTCTAAAACATTTTTTCTTTGGCCAGGCCGCACAGCATATGGGATCTCAGTTCTGACCAGGGATGGAACCTCTGCCCTCTGCAGTGGAAACTCAAGAATCTTAACCACTGGACCGCCAGGAAGTCCCTTTCCAAAACATTTTAATGTATCCCCTTCCTAAGTGAAAGTCTGGTCTTTCAGTCATGTTCAACTCTTTGCGACCCCATGGACTGTAGCCCACCAGGCTCCTCTGTCCATGGGATTTCCCAGGGAAGAATACTGGAGTGGGCTGTCATGTCCTTCTCCAAGGGATCTACCTGACCCAGGGATTGATCCCACATCTCCTGCATTGCAGGCAGATTCTTCACCACTTGAGCCACCAGGGAAGCCCATCACCTTCCTAAACATATATCTATTCCTTTCTTATACACATAAATGGGATTATGCTCCACTCAATCTCTTTCACTTAACTTTAAAAATGTGAGAAATTTTTCACCATCTGACCCACTATCACCCTCATTTCCTTAAGTGACTAGACAATCCTCACACAGGAATAATTAGTACTGTCTCCTGTTGTTGCTTCCCTGCTGGCTGAGATGGTAAAGAATGCCTGCAATGCAGAAGACCTGGGTTCACGGACAGAAGAGTCTGGCGGGGCTACAGTCCATGGGGTTGCAGAGTCAGACACAACTGAGATACTAACACTAGTTAGTCGCTGTTAGAGACAGTATCACCTCCAATACCTTTCTACCTGTATTTTTAAATAAATACTTTCACTAGTATATATTGCTGCAAATCCCTAGCAATGGAACTGCTGGGTTGAGAGTATGCATATTTGATTGATGTTGCCAAATTACCCTTCAGAGAGCCTGTACTGAAAGCTCATTCAACTGAGTATCTTCTCACATCCTTACAAGCACAAATGTAATATTAAAATTTTAAATTCGATAATCTGATGGTGAAAATAGGCTTTTTATTTTTGCTGCAGTTTGCATCAGAAAACCCCACCAAGCACCAGCCCCCACCTCTTCAATCCTAATGAATTCTGATCTCCAATCTCTTTGAACCCCTTTAGATCTTTCAAACTCCAGTCTGAAAGTCTCTGGGAAAGAAGACAGTTCACTGCTCAAAGTCTCTCCTTTATTTAAAAGCAAAAAGCTTTCAACAAACTCATTAAAAAAACAAAACAAAAAAACTCCTCACAGCTTGTTCATGAACAACTTTCCAAACAGCATTGGGATGAATACTCTCCAAGAGCGTGGATTAAATTTCTCGTGATTAACAGACGGATTTAGAAATGAAACGGCAAAAGTGCATGTTGTTTCCAAACAAAAAGATTTGGGAAGTTAAGTTCAGGATGTTCCACAAAAAACTCCCAAATCCACCATCCTAGTGATTTCCCTGCCACAACGCCGTAAGAACATCTACTTCAGTAATCATTTCTCTATACAAATACATCAAATTTATAAAATACAAATACATCAAAATTCCATTTGCTAAAAAATTAAACAAACCCCAAACCCTATATTCTACAGACGGAGAGAGATGACTTTGAAGAGGTTCAGTCTACCCCCTGAAGACTGACAGCAGGAACCCACGGTGGGAAAACACTCCCCAACTCTGCTCTCCCCTCCCTGCTCCGCTGCTCACAAAGACACACACACAACACTATACAATGTAATAACAAGATTCAAAAGAAACTACAATCACAATGTAAAATGAGCAGTAAGTGTTTTTCCCAACATCCCTCCCCACAAGACAAAGGTAAGTCTCCCACTGTCATCTGGGTTCCCCCAACACTCTTCCGGGGGGAGGATCAATAAGACTGCGGGCGCAGAGCTGGATCAGCCAGCCCCCAAAGACACCACTGCCCAGCATCACAGACCTCCCCTCAGGCCTACTGCACACTAACCCTTTCCCGTCTGAATGTCTTGGAGACTTCTCTCTCTCTACTACTGATGATGATGCAGGAGTCGCAAGCATCTCTCAGATTCAAGCACACAGAAGTGCGACAGCTTCTATTTACTGAGTGCACAGCAGGTGCCAGGGACATGGGGCTTCCCTGCTGGCTCGGAGGTAAAGAATCCGTCTGCTAAAGCAGGAGACAGGGTTTGATCCCTGCATCAGGAAGATCCTCTGGAGAACGAAATGGCAACCCACTCCAGTATTCTTGCTTGGGAAATCCCATGGACAGAGGAGCCTGGTGGGCAACAATCCATGGGGTGGCAAAGAGTCGGCTAAACAACAACCAACAGGCGTGTGATGAGTGTTCCCTGTCCATCATTTAATGCTCATAAGAGCCACAAGTGGTAAGGAGTATAACTACCCATTTCATAGGTGAAAGAAATCCGAGACAGAGAGGTTAAGTAACCCAGTCAAGGCCATACAGCTAAAAAGGGGCAAAGGTCTGTTTCCAACTAGGATAGGCTGATTCTCTTACACAAACTCTAAGTGGAACAGTGTCTCCCATTGAGAAAAATTTCAAAAATACACGTGAATTCAGGAAAAAAGCATTCTAGGCTATGGAATATTCCACTAGAGGACCTTGAAGAGTCTCAATGGACCACAAAGGATTTATGGACAAGCTTAAGTTCCTTAAGAGGTGACGTCAATATATCAAATGAAAAGAGATCGGTGTTTACTGTGATTGAACCGCTTTGCGTTTCTCGGCTGTGGAGGAAGGAGGAGATAGGGGCTGAGATTTTGGTTTTGGCTCGTTTTGCAGAATAATACATTTGAACAGAACTAATTTATCTTAAGGAGCATCAGAAAGTCCCAGCAAAACTCAGAGAGGGACAGGCAAGAGCAAACACCAAACTGAGGTCATATGAAGACAATGATAAGGCATGGGAACAGAATGTAAAAACCATAGCACAAAACCAGAGAAAACCAAATCCAGAACATTCCTGATCCTCTCAGAACACATCTCTCTATTCTTTGTTTGGTGGCTGTTCTCCTAACACATTTTAAGGGAGAGCTATGCACCAAAGTGAACCAATATGACTTAGGATTTGTTTGGGTTTACTGGCCTGAGAAACAGAAAAATGAAAGGGCTTGTTTCCACCCCAGGGGTGCCAGACAAAGAAGTAAATTTGCCAAAGGCTGAAGGCATAGGTCTGATACTCCAGGCTGGCTGCTGTTTCTTCAGGGACCCGAGCGCTGGTGAGTGGGTGATGTGATGCTGCTAAGAGCATTACGTACTACAAGGTGCAATGAAAAGTCTTATGTCAGAGCCCCCTGCTGGGCTTATGTCACAACTCAACCAAGCATCCAACACAGGAATTCCTTGGGAAACACACACGTCATTTGCCCTGCCTTCTACTTCCAGTATCTAACAATGAGTACACATTGTTGCTCATCCTGGCTTTTTAGCATGTTCTCAATGACCTGCCAGATTTCCAAGCAACAGGGCAGAATCCATTTAGGTTTCATTATGCTGCTTCTGCTAATCAGGACACGTTTTCAAAAACACGATGGCAAACACATGCATATGGAATTCAATTTCCCTCCCCAGGGCTAGGCATGGAGTTCTCACAAAAAGACCACATAAACTGAGAGCCTTTTAAAGCTACAAAAATCTGTCTAGTTTGTGCTTATACCACTTTTTTGAAGGAAAAAGAAAATGACCTAAAACATATTTTTTGGTAAGTCTGAGAAAAACAAAACTGCATTCTAGTGAGCTTGGAAGCATCCTTTCATCCCTGAGGAGGTACAGAAATGAAATACTATCTTTGTGGGCTTTCCCATTGTTGGCTGGCAACAATTGCCAAGCCATGAGTTTGCCTCTCCATTTCAGGCATTTTGCAAAATTTAGGCTCCCCTTTCCTATATATATGCTTTGGTGTGCAGAGAAGAGAGCTTCCTGGTTCGGACTCTTTGGGCTACAGAAGCTTTCAAAATGTCTAAAAATGAAAAGCATCTTTGTTTACTGTAGCTGTTTCTTAAAATGGTAATGATGGATAGGGAGAGAATGAATAATTGTGAATAAAAACCAACTGCAGCCAACTGTCTTGTTACATGTGCCAAGTGGCAAAACACATTCTCCTGATGATAAGGTGGACTGAGTTCCTGTGGTCCTGGGACCATGACTGAGCCAGTCAAACCCCACTTGGCTCCCTCAGCCCATCTCACAGCTGGAAAGCCCGACCCTCGGCAGCATGGTGCTGAATCAGAGCAGCACCATGACATGCTGCCTGGGATGGCAGCCGACCAGAAAAAAAGGGAAAAGCAAAAAAGTCCCAATCTGACATAATTTGGGGCGTCTTAAATGGTGCTAGTGGTGGACGATCTGCCTGCCAGTGCAGGAGACACAAGAGATCTGGTTTCAATCCCTGGGTTGGGAAGATCTCCTGGAGAAGGAAATGGCAACCCACTCCAGTATTCTTGCCTGGGAAATTCCATGGACAGAGGAGCCTGGTAGGCTATCGTCTATGGGGTCGAGAAGAGTAGGAAATGTCTGAGTGATTGAGCACAGAGATCATTTTAGTTTAAGAATTCCCCTAAGATGATGGGAAGAACAAGGGTATGCCCATACCCCTGGGGCTCAGCCCAGGGGGACTGCTGCCTGCCCCGACCAACCTTCATTCTATTTTAACCTCATCATCTAGAAGTGTTCTTTTTAAATATATTTTACAAGGCAAATCACGTATCTGTTCATCACTTTAATGACTACGTATCACCTACTACTAAGCTGTCATTTTCTTGCAATAAACCACGCTCGTTTGTTGTTGAAACTGTGGCTTTGGCCAAAAGCAAAGGGAATTTAATCATAACCCGCCTCTTCTTCTCTGGCCTCTTTCTGACCACGTCCTGCCACTCCTCAACTCTGTCTTTGTCCTTGTCCAGGTTCCCCTGGGTCTGTCCACTTTCTTTTATCTCAGTGACCTTAAAAGATGGGTACTTGCAATGAAACACAATGGAATGATGAAACAGTATATTAAAAGTCATATTTTAATTTCATCATTTAAAATGATTCTTCAGCATGTAACTTTTATAAGACAGGTAATATTAGTTCAGTAGTAAATATATGTATAGTTTATAACCAACTATGTCCCATTTATTTTCTATAGTTAAGACTGTTCAACTAAATATATTATATATGAACCTCTGATCTAGTAAAGTCCTACTCATCCCTCAGAAGCCAGCTTCAACGGCCTGCCCCATGATGCCTTCTTCCCTAGGGTTAACTGCCTCCCAAAGCATCTTTAGCTGAACTCAGGCACAGAGTTTTATCAGTGAAAACAGCACCTTCCTCTCTAATTCATCAGTTTCTCCACCTGGACATGAGCTCCATGAAGATGGGGCAAACATCAGTTACATCCAGATAGCTGGCATCTTCTTATCCTTTAGGATTTGGCTTTATATCCCTTCTCCTCTTTCCTGATCACTCTGGGCAATGATGCCCCTTGCTCTTTCGAATGTAGCATAGCCATCCTCCCATTTTTTCCCCTTCATTGTACTTCTCCCAATCTGTAATTACTCTTTACACTTTTTTTTTTAATTAGTTGGAGGCTAATTACTTTACAATATTGTAGTGGTTTTTGTCATACATTGACATGAATCAGCCATGGAGTTACATGTATTCCCCATCCTAATCCCCCCTCCCACCTCCCTCTCCGCCTGATCCCTCTAGGTCTTCCCAGTGCACCAGGTCCGAGCACTTATCTCATGCATCCAACCTGGGCTGGTGATCTGTTTCACCTTAGATAATATACATGTTTCAATGCTGTTCTCTTGAAACATCCCACCCTCGCCTTCTCCCACAGAATCCAAAAGTCTGTTCTATACATCTGTGTCTCTTTTTCTGTTTTGCATATAGGGTTATCATTACCATATGCGTTAGTATACTGTAATGGTCTTTATCTTTCTGGCTTACTTCACTCTGTATAATGGGCTCCAGTTTCATCCATCTCATTAGAACTGATTCAAATGAAGTCTTTTTAATGGCTGAGTAATATTCCATGGTGTATATGTACCACAGCTTCCTCATCCATTCATCTGCTGATGGGCATCTAGGTTGCTTCCATGTCCTGGCTATGATAAACAGTGCTGCGATGAACATTGGGGTGCATGTGTCTCTTTCAGATCTGGTTTCCTCGGTGTGTATGCCCAGAAGTGGGATTGCTGGGTCATATGGCAGTTCTATTTCCAGTTTTTTAAGAAGTCTCCACACTGTTTTCCATAGCGGGTGTACTAGTTTGCATTCCCACCAACAGTGTAAGAGGGTTCCCTTTTCTCCACACCCTCTCCAGCATTTATTGCTTGTAGACTTTTGGATAGCAGCCATCCTGACTGGCGTGTAATGGTACCTCATTGTGGTTTTGATTTGCATTTCTCTGATAATGAGTGATGCTGAGCATCTTTTCATGTGTTTTTTAGCCATCTGTATGTCTTCCTTGGAGAAATGTCTGTTTAGTTCTTTGGCCCATTTTTTGATTGGGTCATTTATTTTTCTGGAGTTGAGCTGGAGCAGTTGCTTGTATATTTTTGAGATTAACCCTTTGTCTGTTGCTTCGTTTGCTATTCTTTTCTCCCAATCTGAGGGCTGTCTTTTCACCTTGCTTATAGTTTCCTTTGTTGTGCAAAAAACAAAAGACTTATACAGAGAAAACTATAAATCACTGATGAAAGAAATCAAAGAGGACACAAACAGATGGAGAAATATACCATGTTCATGGATTGGAAGAATCAATATTGTCAAAATGGCTATACTACCCAAAGCAATCTATAGATTCAATGCAATCCCTATCAAGCTACCAACGGTATTTTTCACAGAACTAGAACAAATAATTTCACAATTTGTATGGAAATACAAAAAACCTTGAATAGCCAAAGTAATCTTGAGAAAGAAGAATGGAACTGGAGGAATCAACCTGCCTGACTTCAGATTATACTACAAAGCCACAGTTACCAAGACAGTATGGTACTGGCACAAAGACAGAAATATAGATCAATGGAACAGAGTAGAAAGCCCTGAGATAAATCCACAAACCTATGGTCACCTTATCTTCGACAAAGGAGGCAAGGATATACAATGGAAAAAAGACAACCTCTTTAACAAGTGGTGTTGGGAAAACTGGTCAACCACTTGTAAAAGAATGAAACTAGAACACTTTCTAACACCATACACAAAAATAAACTCAAAATGGATTAAAGATCTAAACATAAGACCAGAAACTATAAAACTCCTAGAGGAGAACATAGGCAAAACACTCTCCAACATAAATCACAGCAGGATCCTCTATGACCCACATCCCAGAATATTAGAAACAAAAGCAAAAATAAACAAATGGGACCTAATGAAACACTTGTTTCTTGCCTTATATCATCCAGGACATAAACTCAATGACCAGAAGGAGGGATCCAGTCTCCCTGGCCAGTATCTCCAAGTCCACAGCAAATAGCCCATGTATAATACTTAATTGTTGAATGAGTGAATCTGATTTTTCTTTCCGTTTTCCTTGACTATTTTCCTCTTAAGCTGACTAACCAGGAAGAAGTTTGATTTCAGTCAATCAGTTGTTTCCAGCTCTTTGCGACCCCATGGACTATAGACCATGGGATTCTCCAGGCAAGAATACTGGAGTGGGGTGCTAGTCCCTTCTCCAGGGGATCATCCCTACCCAAGGGACTGAACCTGGGTCTCCCGCACTGAGGGCAGATTCTTTACCATCTGAGAAGAATGAGGAAAGGCTGAGCACAGGAAAAGAACAAGAGATGATGCATACTCTGAGAATCCCGTGTGAAAGGTGAGACTCCAGAACACATCCTCTGCCACCTTCCCAGAGCCCTCTCAGCAGACATTTTCCTGGCAGTTAAATCAACAGATCTGAATTCTGGAGGATCCCCTTTCTGGAGGAGGGGATCATGATGAATGGGGCGAACAAATGGCTCCAATGAGAGGGAAGTGAAAAGGCTACAACCAGCCCACAAATGAGGGAATCGCCCCTGACTAATGAAAGGCAGGTAGAAGTCCTGACAAGACTGCCAGTCTTGGAGCCCTGAACCCAGCAAAGCCCCTCAGTATAACTGCACAATCCTTTTTCTTTTAAACTTATTTTGTATTGAGGGGGTAGCTCAGCTGGTAAAGAATGCATCTGCAATGAAGGAGACCCTGATTCGATTCCTGGGTCGGGAAGATCCCCTGGAGAAGGGATAGGCTACCCACTCCAGTATTCGTGGGCTTCCCTGGTAGCTCAGATGGTAAAGAATCCACCTGCAATGTGGGAGACCTGGGTTCGATCCCTGGGTTGGGAAGATCCCCTGGATGGAGGGCATGGCAACCCACTCCAGTGTTCTTCCCTGGAGAATCCCCATGGATAGAGGAGCCTGGCAGGCTAAAGTCCATGGGGTTGCAAAGAGTTGGACATGACTGAGTGAGTAAGCATAGCACATAGCCAATTAACAATGTTGTGACAGTTTCAGGTGAACAACGAAGGGACTCAGTCATACATATACATGCATCCTTTCTCTCCTAAGCTCCCTCCTATCCGGGCTGTCTCATAAAATTGAGCAGAATTCCACACATATTAACATGACTTTTCTTAGTTCAACTGCTATCAAATTAGACATGAATTCTTCAAAGCTGAACAGCTAGGATTAGCTATTGTATGACTAGGACGATGCTACATTAGGAAACCACAGCTAGTCCCCAAAACCAAATCACTTTGCTATACACCTGCAATTAACACAACATTGCAAATGAACTATGCCTTAATAAAAAAACAAGATGATAGAAACCCCCGAGTGCAAAGATGATAAATGCACAATGAACTCTAACTAGAGCAGAATGAAGTGAGCTAGGTTTCCTACCCTTCACACCCCAGTCCTTGACCCCTCTCCCAGCTCCATCAGGGACCCGTAAAATCCATCTCAACAACGAACGTACCACACACGGCCGGCCACCAATGATGTTGAATCCCAAGGAGCCGGAGTCCCGATGCAGGACAAGAGTCAGGCTTTTTGTTTCTTCACCCTGCAGGGAATAAATGAGTTCAGCATTTCATTAACATTTAGGAAAACCAATGGGAAGAATTTTCTATCTAAATGGACTCATGGATTGCCAACCTGATCATTAAAAACCCTATGTCTCTAGAGAAGCTTAACCCAGAAAACTTCTGAGGTTCATGCTGAAACAATGGTCTATGGTTGAGGAGGTTACAAACATTTCTAGATACCATCAGACCCTGCGGTGAGCACTTAAGAACATCTGAAGACATCCAGACAGAAGAAATGAACATTTTCTCAGTGACACCTTGCTCTGCACACACATCTTTGCTTTGATCAGCCCACCATAGGCTGGCTATTTCGACGGCTACCTCTGTCCCTCAGCCATTCTCAACAGCAGCATTCACCTTAATATGCCGTGAAAGGTTCCAGTAGCAATCCCCTCGGAAGCTGAGGCACATATACAGCCCATCAATAGTCATCTGTGTTTGGGAGGTTTCAGGGGAGAAATAGCACTTAAAAAGTCAGACTCAAACATGGGTGGGAACAAGGAAAATCCCGAATCTTACTAAAAAGGGAGGAGGGGGCATTTTCACAAAGTAATGACTGTCCAGTCCTGAGGAGACGCAGATTGCTGAACAGAAAACACTCTGTTTAAGGCAGGTGGGACCACGTGAGCCACTTTAAATCAAACAAGTGGCCCCGGCAGGTCTCAGAGGCGCAATGTTCAACAGTCAAAGAAGATGGAGATGCCAGGGCACCCCAACCAACACTCTCCAGTAACAGACAGATGGATAAAAACAGATCTCACCTTCTACGCAAACTATCACTTAATAGGCTTTGACATAAATATTAAACTCGCTGATATACCACTGAAAGGGTTCCAACTATTCAAATGGTATGCAAAGGTCCACATGCACTGGCTATAAATTTGCAATTGCTTCACTCACATTTTCTATTTAAACAGGGTATCTTTTAAAAGGGCATTTAAAAAAAAGTATGAAATATTTCATTATATGCTTTCTCAAAAACAGTACTAACAGCTTATCACAAAAGAGGTTTATTCTGATATTTACTGCTTCCTGGTGCAACTTGTGCCTTATACTTTGGCAGGGGTTGGGGGGTGGGGGGGAATAAATGGCAACATTTGAATGACATGAATACAGCTATCTGACCTGACCACCATGGTGGCAAAGAAAGCCACACTTTTTACCTGCACTGCCCAGTGGTTTTTCCTGCCACCATTTTCAATGTAAAATACTGTTCCACCACTGTCAATGTAAAACACTGTTCCATATTTGGCCAGGAAAAATGCACAACACAGCCACATGCACATTCACACATATACTAAAGACTAAGAGGTCTCAATGTGTAAAATTATCTCCATAGGCTTAAAATCCTCAGTAAACAAGCCTGTTTCTCATGCCTAGTTAGTATATAGCAGAACTCAAAATATCTTAAAAAATGTCATGAAAGTTAGCATCAATTACTAAAACGTTGTAAAAAAAAATGAAAATAATTTACTATTAGAAACAGGCTATTTCTGATGGAATAACTGGGTATTCAATAAGAACAAAATAACAAAATCTTCATTTTTGCAGGGTCACTTAGTTACTACAGAAAATAGAGTATATAAATATAAGAGAAGCCAGTCTCTATCAAGCTATGGTACTTAACAAAAAAACAGCAGGGCCTCATTAATGACAACCATTTACTTACTTAAAAAAAAAAATTCCAATCCACAGTACCACCATTCAGAGCATCTAGCTTCCCTGGTAGCTTGGTTGGTAAAGAATGCGCCTGCAATGCAAGAGACCAGGGTTCGATTCCTGGGTCGGGAAGATCCACTGGAGAAGGGAATGCTACCCACTCCAGTATTCTGGCCTAGAGAATTCCATGGATGGGGTCGCAAAGAGTCGGACACGACTGAGCGACTTTCACTTTCACTTTCATCGATGCTATCAATTTTTATCATTCATTTGAACCAACAGCAACTTTCAAATTAAAGAGACTAAAACTTGCAGAATCACCTTAATAGTCTGGAGATGTAAATGTAATGTTTTGCAAACCAGAACAGTTTATATCTTTCTGTCTTGGAAATGGAAAAGGTTGCTAAGTTCACATCTTGCTTTGTTTTCTTAGAGAGCTGAGAAAGAAATACATGGAAATTTGAGTGAGTTATCATACATAGCTTACATTTCTGGCTTTCATAACTAATCAATGATAGAAACTGCCAGGTCATAGTAATCTTAAGGCAGATAGCTCTGGTTGGACAACCTCAAATGATGCAAAAAGGAGAATGCATAGCTAAATGATTAAAACAGACTAGTTTTAAATCTACTGTGTGATAACTATTCTTTAAAAAAATGAAAAATAAAGAAATCATATTACATTAACAACGATAACAGCTAACTTTTACTGGCTCTTTATCATGTGTTGGAAATTATACTGAGCACTTAAGTGCTTTATTTTGTTTAATAATCCAACCAATCTTATCAACTGGTACTATTACCATCCTCAAGATATAGATGGGAAGATTGGGAGGATTAAAAAAGCTTGTCAAAGGGCTAGTAAGAGGTCACTGGCATTTAAACCCATGATCTCCCAGATTCTAGACCTCAACTCTCTACACTAACTTCCTTCTCATGTGGAATGTAGAAGAGTGCCATGTAGGCTGGCAACATCTCAGGTCCCACCCAAGTTGATTCCCTTGATGGCATTTCAAAAAGTTCCACAAAGAAACTCATGATAGGAGGTCTTGGCTGGGAAACCAGTATCAGAACAAAACTCCAAACTCTTTATTGAACTACTAGTCTCCAAAAGATCCAACCTGAGATACCCAGAGACACCTAGGTCTGGTCCCAAACTCAGAGATCTCTTTCCAGGGACAATGGAGACCAACTGAGACAATGCCTGAAACAACACCATTTAGCCAAACAGCAATCTGCAAAGGCTGATCAAGTTAACAGTCAAGTTAACCCTCCAACCCTCCTTGCCAGATGCAATCAACCGCAGGGGATAAGAGAGCATGTTCTCTTTTTCCAGAAGTGTGTTGACCCAGTCTGTCGTCCAGCAAGCTTACACAGTGGCTTTAGGTGACACTGCCTATTTTAGGACTAATTTACAGGACTGAGTCACCACATGGATGTTTCAACACATGATGCTGGGAATGATGACAGAGAAGAGAAACCCTCTGGCTAGACTGAATTACTTTCATTTCTCTAACTCTCAAAGGTCAGTTCCTTTTCTCCGACACCCTGAGCTCCATTCTGATGTTTCCTTTCCACTTCTTTCCCCCTAAGCAACCTGAACTACTTTTGTTTACTTTCTGATTCTTCAGAAGAAATGTTAATAGAGAAATTTAACAGAAGGCTTCACAAAATACCATGTTAACAGATTAACTTTAATTTCTGCTTAGTGATTTAATCTGTTCCTGGGTTCAAAGTGTATCAGGATAGAGAGCATTTAAATGATTCTCATTCAGTTATACTCCACCCAATAAAGCAAAGAAAGTGAAAGTGTCAGTCATTCAATCATACCCAACTCTTTGTGATCCCATGGATTATAGCTCTCCAGGCTCCTCTGTCCATGGGATTCCTCAGGCAAGAATACTGGAGCAGGTAGCCATTCCCTTCTCCAGAGGATCTTCCCAAACCAGGGATCAAATCCAGGTCTCCTGCCTTGCAGGCAGATTCCTTACCGTCTGAGCCACACAGATCTCAAGAGATGGACAAATGGAATAAGGACAAAGGCTCTCATCAATGCTGCTTTCCCGGCTGTTCACAGATGTTATATTTGTAAGTAACATCATTCATCTAAAGGAAAATTTAATCAATATTTCTCTGTCTTGGTAGTTTATCATGACCTATGCTTTGAAACCTTCTCAATGTCTTGGTATAACAAAATAAAAGACAGGAAAGAGCTCTCTTTCACATAAACAACTGAGTAACCAAAACATCAGGCTTTTGAGGCAGGTATTATATCAAGCTCTGTACCTGAGAAACTGAGGCTCTGAGAAATGCATACACTTGCTGAAGATCACGTGGCTGCCAAGAGGCGGGGGCAGGGTTGGAACCCAATCCACGGACTCCAACAGGCAAGTTCTTGCTACTGTGCTGGGAAATGTGTGCACCCTACCCTAAACCCCTTTGCCTCAAAATACTGAGCCTTCACGCTAAAACGTCAGGAAGGATTAGACATCTAATTTCTTTTCCAATTAGAGTTTTAAGCTAGGCTTCTTTGGACCATGCACCAACAGTGGCAAAGATTAGAGTATCTATTATACCCCAAACAGTGTCATAAGAATACTGTGCCTTTTACAGGATCAGGGTGATGGTTAAGATCCTGGACTTCAGAGTCAAAAGGTGATTTTAGTTTTCTCCTTCTTAGGTGGAGGACAGTAATGGCTTCTTCTGAAACATGAATGAGCTGGGGCTATCCCTGCCCAGTGCCTCCGTACAGGGCGTGGCCAATAGCAAGGGCTCCAGACACGAGCCGAGAACAGCATCGAGGCCATGATGCTCTCTGACCACATAAGTGACTCTGCTACAAAACCCCGGAAATGGAGAATGTCTAATCCTAAATTAACTTAAGTCTACAGCAAGTCTGGAAGAACTGAGGCCTGCAGCTAAGCAAACAAAGACAGTTACGTGTTCACAACATCTGGCCATCAAATGGGAACTATATCCACATATACATTTCTCCTCTTCCCAAGTCTGGAGGGAGAGTGGCACAGTCTTGGAGGGCTGATAAAGGGCCAGGAGGCAGATTTTACCCTGGAGGCAGTGGGAGAGAGGCATGATGCAGACAAGGGGAGCAGCTCGGCCTGAACCTGGAGCTTCAGGGCCGTGGAGATAGGATGGGCAGAGGGTACTGACCATGGCTGGAGCATGAGAAGGGAAATCAGACAAAGGATGTCCCCAGGCGTGGAGGGAGATGTCCTCATGACAGGACAGAAGAGACATCAAGTCAAAGAAAGTGTGGACTTGGATACGGACAGGGGAGGGAGGAGCTGGGAACAGGACACTG